AAGTAAAGGACCCTTTTTTTCCCATACCCTTGGGCGCACTGGGCATATAGGGCTAGACCAATATTTTTATAGACCATTTGCAACTCAGCAGGTGCTGTGGTCAGCATCACACAGGTCGCCTTTACTTCCCAAGACTCTTCCTGGTACCGATTTATAGTTATACCTGAGAGCCAAGCTTGTCATAAAAGGCAAAGTAATTCGGAATTCCAGCCCCCCCCCCCCCCCCCGTCAGAGCGCATCTGCCTGAGGCAAGGAACCAACAGCATGCATGCAAAATAAACAGATCTATATAACAGATGCACACACAAAATTCAAGTTATGGAGCAAGATTAAAGACGCAGACGCTAAGATAAAGATACAGGCTACAATAAAATCTCGTTAACGCAAATTTCAAGGGAATGAGCATTAAAATTTGCTTGCTAACCGAGGACTAACAACAGCAAATCATCCCTGCCGGTGGGACCAACACTCAGTCCATTTTAAACCCAGTGTTCTCATGAGAGTTCACGTAAACTGCTGTCGGAAAAACATGAAGCTCAACAGATGGAAAGGAAAAGAATTTCACAATACTGCTGTTTATACGCTCACACACATCATGAGAATCAGACAGAGTATCCACTGAACAGGTACTGAAAAGAGAAACAAAGTGAGGATACAAGGCTGTCCAAAAGAAACCATTTGACAAATGTTGTTGAAAGAAAGATACTACAGGTGTTGATTGGATTTCATCCTTCACATCGAAAGGATTGCATCGCATGGAATGAAATGATGGAATGGGAACCCCCATGCGAGGTATAATGGCACAACAGGATGATGATGACATTTGTAAGTGGATAAAGTCTCTCTGTCGAAATGTTCGGTGATATTTGTATACATACGTCGCAGGTCGACCCAGCCACAAATGGGTACCAGGATGGGCTGTCCTGGGAAAGTAAAGACAGCCGGCGTAATGCTGACCACATTACCCACCGAGTGCTGATGGTCTGTAAAAATATGGGCGCTCTTCCCATATGCCCGATACGCCTAAAGGTGTGAAAGGTTACTTTACTTTACATACAACACAAACTATGACTACAAAGCTCAACAAAAGGACAGAAAGAAACATTTATTATATTATAAAATGCTCCACATGTGGGTTCTGCTGTTCCCATTTTGGGATACCCTCTCTATATGCCCAAACCATTTCAGTCTATTACCCTCATTAAGCCAGTGATCAATGGTGATTCAAACAGATTATAAATTTCATTGTTGCTTGCCCCTCTCCATTCTACGCTGTTTGTATCTGTGATGGGTAAACAGATTTATCTGAGACTGTTCTTGAAAGCTTGTAATAAGGCTTCGTCTTTTTAGCTATAATCTGGGGCTTACTTTACTTCACCTATTGTCAATACATTTAATGAACTCACACGTTGTAGTTTAAACTAACAAACGACAGGTCAACTTATTCTGAGGTCGCCCTAATTTTCCAAACCTTACACAAAAAATCAAGTTTTTGACAAGTTTAACATTGATTTTCACACTTTTAATGTAATCTGGGAGCGCTGTGATGTTGCAGCTAAATGCTCACTTATTGATCTGAAGGTCATGAGTTTAAATCCAAATACTTGTAAAAAAAATGACCTTAGCTCCCAGTTCGACCCAGCCTCAAATGGGCACCAGATAAAGTCCTCAGAAGAAATGATGTTAACCCTACCCGCCGAGTCATCTATAAATTTTGGTTATCACTGTATACCCAATATACCTGAAGGTAGGGAAGAGGCTCCCTTTACTTTTACCAGCGTAATCTCTCACCCTCTACCACTTTTCTCTGAATACAGAATACTTAATTAAAAAACAAACAAAAAACTAATCAGCAAAACCAGACAGTAAATTTTGGATTTGGTGTGGTTGCATCAACAGAATGTAAAAGAAACCTTTACTTTAGTTTACTGTCATCATTTGATTTCTGATAAGTACATTCTGCCGCTTTCCGTGAAAAGTAGGGCACACGCCTGGACATTTAGATTTTGAGTACAAACTATTGCCCAGGCAGCAGGTGCTCCCTCTCATGTCGCCCATGATATCAAGGGAAAGGCAAAAGCCAATACAATCTGGCACTGAGGACTTTGCAGAAACTGCAGAAATAGCACTGTAAACAACGCTGAACTGCCTTAGGGATTGCGGCTCTGGATTTTACTTCAGAGTTTACTCTCGCAGCCGAAGGGCTTTACCAGGCTGCAGTTCAAGTTAATGATATTCATGTCAACCTGCCCTGGCTTCCCAAATCATGTCCAGTGAATTCTTCCGACCAGCGTTTTTCAACCAGTAGGCCACAGCTCACGTGTACGCCGCTGGAAAAGTCCAGGTAGGCCGCCAAATGTGTCTCTAATCCTTTAACAGGGTAGGGGAGACACGTTCTTCTCTTCCCTGATTGCAGTAAGTAGGAGTTGGGTTGTTGTTGAGTCAAGAACTGACATCATAACACTCGAGGCACCCATATGTGCTCCATCCCCATCTTCAGCAGCGAGTGCAGCGTTCCAATACTAATGGCATCAGTCATATATAGTAGGATTATCAACTCAATGATGAGAATAAAACAGGAAGAAAGCCCAGCAACCCTGTTAAACTATTTGAAACAGTTATATTAGGGCAACAGGCAGTTACATTACTAGCGGTCCTGTTTCTGTCTTTTGGTTAGCTGCCCAGTGGATAGGGAAACAATCTTCATTATAGGTGAGTCACAGGTGTAATAAGGTTGAGGAGAACTACTTTAGACTGCACGTCAGTTTTTGCCCAGACATCTGAACACTTTTACTTTGTAATTAGAATCCATTTCCACACAACCCCTCTACCCCTAATTTCTCAATAAAAAGCATTAAATAGACATGCCTTCTAGAAAATACAGTAGACTAAAAACATGACATGTGTTCCATTTTCCCATTCAAACTCTTGATCCCTCCAAGCGGGGAGCTCTAAGTGACAGGTTTTCATATACTTAATCCTCAGAAATTAGCAAGCACATATGAAAGAGACTTGCTATTCTAAGTCACACAATAGCCTATTCAAACATTTACTGTTGCCACTCCTATTACTGCAGATTTGTTGAAAAGACAATTAACACCCTCAAATGTGGATGTACAGAAGAATGGGGCAAACAATAATGAAATTTAATTAAAATTAGATAAGAAAATTTGATAATTCTTAGTCAGGGTTCTAACACCCCATCTGCCTATTAGTGCTCTATTCTTGCTGAGGTGGAAATCATGCAAAATGATCATCACTGTCTGATCTGAAAACTAGTCACTCCTAGCAAAATTGTGAAGCTTGTACACACAACAGCACAAATGTGCAAGGCAGCTGTCAAATATGCCAACAATGCTGGTACCACGCCAGAACTGAAGTTCACTTTTGGCGTTTAGGTTTTAAATGTCGAAAGGTATTCACAAATAAACTAGGAATGAACTTTAGTATCCGTCTTCAAAAAGGAAACAAAGCCCCGAATGTCCAACCGAAAAAAGTCCCAACTGTAAAAAAAAAAGTTTGTATGTCTGTTACCACTGGCTCCACTTGCCAGCGTGTTAGGATCAGAAAGGAGGAGCCATGCCAAATGTCGGCCTTTGCTGGATATTGGCCTCTGGCATACTGTCTTGCTAACTTTCTAGATGAAACAATGTTAAAGGTGTCTAACGTGCTGAAGAAAATGTACCTATTTGTGTGGTTACCACAGTTCTGGACCTGCGGTCTGCTCCAAGAACAGCCCCTGATGATTGGGAAGCCCAACATATCAATATGAGGTTAAGCAGTCATGTGCAGGATGTGATGATTCCTTGGGTAAGCCCAGGACCAGAGCATCATGAGACGGTTCTGACTTTATTCTCCAAAACTTCCCTTATGGGTTTCGGGGTCCCATTGTAGGGAAAACAAGAACAGACCCACTGCTTCCCCAACAAGTACGTGTTAGGAGCTGACTAACTGAAGGCTTCAGGAACAGCCAACAATGATTTTGTGAGACTCTGGCCTCACCACATAATACTCCCATAGACAGCAGTTGGTGCCTTGCAACTAATTTTCACTGATGGGGGCAGCACATAAAAAAAAAAAAGGGGGGGGGGGGGAGCAGTGTGTGTATCACAAAAAGTGAGATGAGGAGAAAAATCAGTGGGGAAAAGACAACAGAAAATTATGACAATGGACTGTGAGATGAGGTCGTTAACTGGCCACTCTTGTTGCTAAACCAAACCCGCAGTTGCCATTATTCACTAGTGAGAAGATGAAATGAGCATTGATGATACAAATCAAGAGGGAACAGTGGGTTGAGAGAGGGCAAGAGAGAGCGAGATAAAGCAGGAGAGAGAGAGAGAGAAAGAGATCAAAAGAGAGAGAGAGAGAGAGAGAGGGAGGAAAGATAACAAGAGACAGAGCAAAAGAAAGAAAGAATGAGAGGAAGAGAAAAAGCAAAAGAGAGACAGACAGACAGCAAAAGAGAGAAAGAGTGAGATAGAGCAAAATATATAGCGAGTAAGAGAGAGAAAAAAGAGAGAGCAAAGAGAGTGAGAAAGCAAAAGAGAGAGAGATGGCACATGAGTGTAAACAAAAAGTGAGATGAGGAAGAGTGAGTGCACAATAAGTCTGAAAATATCAAATATAATGTCAACAAGGAATAAGATCAGATCGGGGGGGGGGGGGGTTAAGTCTACTAGTAAGGGAAAATAGGGCAACCACTCTTTTCTAACCGGTAAGAAACACAATCCAAATAAGTAGTTAATGCTAACGACAAGCACAATTATCTACCAGAAAGCTTTCAATCATAATATCACTGTTTTGTCACCCAAAAAGAGTATATGCAAAATCTAAGGCCGACAGCTTATCAAGAAAGTTTTAAAATATTTTCTCTGACCAGACAAATACTATGAGTGCTTTTCTGAATATGTAGCTATCCACACAGGCAAACATATGAGGAGAGAACAAAAAGAGAAACACATAAACAAATGTAATGACTAAATTGAGGTCCTTAGACTCACCCTCGTGATCCGGCTGGCTGATTCTAGGGCTCTGTCTCTTTAGTTGCCGTCTGTGCCGCCTGTATGTGGGCCGTGAGTTGTTGGCAGCGGGAGACTTCTTCCAGAAGTAATAGAACTCCACTAGCTCACTCTGCAAAATACAAGTTAACTGACTCTATCACTCTGAGACATAAATGTTAACTGACTCTATCACTCTGAGACATAAATGTTAACTGACTCTATCACTCTGAGACATAAATGTTAACTGACTCTATCACTCTGAGAGACATAAATGTTAACTGACTATGATTCTGAGAAATAAATGTTAACTCACTCTAACACTCTGAGAAATAAATGTTAACTCATTCGAAACTCAACTAAAGGTTAACTCCTTCTTAAAAAAGGCAACATTATATACCCAGTTACAGACTTCTTCTTTTGTCAAAATCTGCTTGTGCCGCTAGGCGTCGCAGTCTATCAGATGATCGGCAACCGAGCCAGGGCGCGCTCAGTCGCTTCATATGCCGTGATGTTATGAAGTCTCAAGTTGTCCGTGACTCCTTCTTCTTGGTCTTCCCCTGCCTCTTGGTGTTTCGATTTTCATGTTGTATGCTCTTGATACTGGCATCGTTGGTTCCATTCTCATTAGGTGACCAAACCATTTCATTCTTTGCTTCTCAATAAATTTAACGATGGGTATGGTTCCAATAGTTCTTGTAATCACATCGTTTCTCACTCGATCTCTTCTGGTTTTATTCGCAGCCATTCTCAAACATCTCATTTCACAGGTGGTTAGTCTTCTCTTGTGTTCTTTTGTTAATGTCCAAGTCTGACATTGATAACCTAATGTCGGTATAAAGATTGTATTTATAATTTGTCTTTTTATCTCAGCTGGGACAGCAGGGTGTTTTAAAATTGGTGCAAGCTGGTATGCGACATTGTTGGCTTGTTGGATTCTTGCTTCGATCTCTCTGTCTATTTTACCATTGGATGTAAAGATACTTCCCAAGTAGTTACAGACTAACATTTAAAATCGGGTACAGAATAACTAACTGGAACTACACTGGCCATGCACTCAGAATTGATAAGACAAGACTCCCCACATCAAGCTCCCATATGGACACTGGAAGCGAAAAGAAAATGGGGAAGACCAAGGCAGACCCTGTGCAGAACCATTAGAAGAGAAGGCTCCATCATAATACACATCAAGACATAGAGAGATATGACCTCTGCCCTATGCGCCGCCCTAGGCTCAAGATGAAAGACTAACTTACAATATATAGCCAGCTATCTTTTTTTACGCTGACAAAGTGAGGCCCCGAAGACACACATGAGTGCCGTTGTGCCAGGTTTGATCCAAGCTGCAGGCCATTTGGCAGCAGACTGCCTGTTGTTGATTGCAACAGTGGTATCGATCATTCAGAAAGCAATGCAAACTACTAAACGTAAATTTGCCTAGAAAAACCGTAACAGTAAACACAAATAGCAGGAGCTGGTTCTGTAATGTTCTGTAAAGAACATGCAAACAGTTTTTTTTTTTTTTTATATCAAATATGTCAGTAACAATAATTGTCCTGAGCAAGAATAAAATCTCCTTCACCGATATGCTAAGCAAATGCTTAAAAATAATTCTATGCAATGATCGCTTTTATCAATATGCATCTTACATTAAAAAATAGTGAAGAAAAACACAAGAACTAATGAGAAAATATTTCTTAAATCAGATCTGTTGTTTGATGTGGCATGCCAGCTGGCATAGAGAATCGTGTCTCTACATAAAATCTGGTCTATGTGAATCCTGCTGCTAATCCCCGTACCACAACTGTCTGAAATCTGGAATCTTCTGTGCAATAAATCTTGTCAGTTGCTGCATATTTTGTGGTTTCTTCTGTAATCACATGTCCAAATTATGATGACTGTTTTTTTTTCCTTGATCTTTAGAATGGAAATGTCTTGGAAGCTTTTATAAAGTACAGGAGCGAGGTGCCCCGGAAAAATAAAAGATCACAAGAACGAGATATTTCGGGAACAGAAGGAAACGTGTGCTAAACATGGCTGCCTTGGTTTTCTTGCCACAGGTCTATCACTGATGATAATGCAAGACTTCATCTGCATTCGCACTCACAAGAGCAGCTGGCACATGGTGTTGTGGTTTACAGTCAGCTTTTTATCTTTGCTTCTCTGCCCACTAAGATGGTTACTGCATTTTTCTCCTCTGAGTTGGACCTCGACAAGAGATTTTATAAAGTATCAGTTTGTGAGGAGATATTCCTTTTTTTAGTTATTTTTCTTTTCGGAGGTGCTTAGTCACCAATAAATATTCATTCGTGGACTAGTGTGTTTACATTCACGGAGTGATAGTGCTGATTGCGTTAAAAGAAATTTATAAGAAAATGGTTGGTCAGCACGAGGAGAATATAAACATGTAGAAACAGATTTGGATACTTGGATAGGAGATGGACACCACCAAGCAAACTGTTTGCCTAAGGAAATGTATGATGGATAATCGGCACAAGTAACATTGGGGAGTAGTCGAAGAAAAGGAGGACAAAGAAGAAACTGGAATGACAACATCGAGAAATGAACAAGACGATGCTATCATACACTTATTCATCATCACACACTTATTCATCATCACACACTTATTCATCATCATACACTTATTCATCATCATACACTTATTCATCATCATACACTTATTCATCATCATACACTTATTCATCATCATACACTTATTCATCAAGAGGAAGACAGAGAAAGATGGCAGGCTTTATGTGCTACATGACCCTAATGGGTCAAGGGTAAGGTTATGTTATTTCAGCGCAATACATTGGATCTCAGAAAACCACTAATTATTCCGGTGTTTGTTCTTTTTGAACTAAATACTTGTTAGAGGAGCTCAGTATGCAATTAAGGTGGAGGGATTTTTCAGCCTGAGGATAACATTTGTGTGTCCCAAGCAACGCATCACGCGTCAAGGTTTTACATTTACAACTGGCAACCGGGCATATAACAATGCAAACTGGCAGTTTTGAATGGTATTTCCTGTTCTTTGTGTTCGGTGTCACATGCGCTGACCATTAAGCATATTCGAAAAGGTGGTTAAAAGTATCAAATGTAGCATGTTGTGAGCTTTACTGGGTTACTAATTGTCTGTGTTAAAACAATATGGCCTCCGAGCAGACTTCATGCATATCAATAAGATTTATGACTTTAGAAGCCTCATATTTAAATAAAACATGCATTTATCAGTTTTATCCAAAGCAACAAAGTTAAGAAGCAGACTTGTTTCAGTCTTTGATAAGAGTCGAACTTTGACGAGGGATGGCTCTGATATATACCTCACACAAAAGCTTACAAAGCCAGCTGGTACTAAGAGAATAAATATTAGTGAAAATAGCAATAGTCTTCAGTGTCAGTCAGGTCTGGTGCGATTCTCTTATTATTTGGGAACATAGGCTAAAAAATTACAGGCAAAGAGAGTTATTTTTTTAATGGATGCGAAAGCACTAACTTTTTCAGAGGTTATTTTTCTTTTCTAAATAATTATGCTCTGTTGTGGTGTTCTAAAAGTTTCTTTGGAATGAGATCAAATGGACATATTAGGTTCATATTTTATGTATACATATAAGAGTTTCATATTCATTGGTGAATCATTTTCGATATATTTTATCTAGTTTTTCTTGAGTGCCATGGTGATAAGTGGAATAATTATTTTGTCTTTTTACTAATTTCTGTGAAAGTACCATCTGTTTATTTACTAAAAATTAACTACACAATTTATTTATGTAGCAGTATTCTAATATTATTCCTTAACATTCCCTGGTCACTTTGATGTATAATGTGCTTATGTTGCATGGCAATTGAATGAATTAGTATGGACTGTTTTAATGTGTAACACTTGTGACTTTTCAAAACTGCACCCCTCAGGTCTCTGATGCTAAGCCCCGCCAAAAAGGTATGGGCCGCATCACTAGTGCCACAGAATGTGCAGGTTGATGAAGGATTCAAACCTAGGTCTCTGGCAAGAGAGCCCTGTGCCCTAAACAGTCTAGCTAGCCAACCCTCCTATTTAAAGGGGAAGTGAAACTCTCCTTTTCCCCCACACTGAGGCTCAAGAGCCCACACTGGGAACTAGAAGTAAAAATCCAGAGAAAAGGGCTTATGGAAGAGAGGCAAATCATAGGCAGGAAGGTCTCCTTCATTAGGCTAGCCACATCGTCAAAACAGTACAAAACAGAACAGAACAGACAGTGACAGAACTAGAAATTATACTAGATGATGTAGGTCCCCTTTCTTTGAATTCACCATATCTCAGGGACTCGGAGCTTTCCTTCGGAGATCCTGGGAAAGTCCAACAGTAACGCGGTGTTAGGTTGTAAAATGAACACTAACAACCCCCCCCCCCCCCCTTTTTCCAGGAACAGAAACTCCACAAAGAAAACCCCGTGATGGGGCAAAGTAAAATACAAAATACTTTTATCAGGCTTCATTGATACGAAAACTATAGAGCTATACTGTTCGCTGCGCAGAATTTCATTCATATATGGGAACGAGAAACAGCGAAACACTACACTGACCTGGCAATCCAGGCCAGAGTGGCTATGCTAACGACGTTGTAGTCTTTAAAATACTGTCGCGCGAACAACGAATCACTGCAGCTCTAAACTTATTTAAGTTATTATATATAATATAATCTGGAACTGAGGTCTTTCTTATAATGTCACCGTTAATGACAATCTTTCAATCAGAATCATAACCGCTGATAAATAAACGACACTACCGTGTAGTGACAGTCTACACTATATTTTTCAGCCATTGAGTTAGGCCAATTGAATGCGCTACACTTTGCCTACACATCTCACACTTCATGTATACGTACCGTTTATTGATTACCACAGCACAGGGTTAACAGTTTCAGTCGGCTAGAAGAACATATATAAGTCGGTGATGCTGGTGTCGATATACAAGCTCGCAATGGCAATATTAAATAACAACTTCGTTAACTTGCCAAACCTGCTCATAAGACAAGGTATTCCTGGCAATTCGACTCAAGTCGGTCCGGCCTGTTGTATTTCCAACCACATCAGGTCGAATTAAATGCAGAACAAGTCTGGAAATGTACTGTCTGCTGTCGTCAGCGCCAAGAAA